AGGAGGCTGAGATCTGAGGATCGCAGTCCAAAGCCAGCCCAGGTAAGAAAGTGTGTGAGACTCTTTTTTGTTGTTGTTGGAAGTGGGGCTTGAACTCTGGGCCTGGGCACTGTCCCTGAGCTCTTCAGCTCAAGACAAGCACTCTGCCACTTGAGCCACAGAACCACTTCCAGTTTTCTGGTGGTTAATTGGAGATAAGAGTCTAATGGAATTTCCTTACCTGGGCTGGCTTTGAACCCTGATCCTCAGATCTCAGCTTCCTGAGTAGCTAGGATTACAGGTGTGAGCCATTGGCACTCAGCTCCATGAGGCTCTTATTTCCAATTAAGTATAAAAAAGCCAGAAGTGGAGCTGTGGCACAAGTGGTAGAATACTAGCCTTGAGTAAAATGCTCACAGACAGCACCTAAGCTCAGAGTTCAAGCCCCAGGACCCACACAAGAAGGAAAGAAAGAAAGAAAGAAAGAAAGAAAGAAAGAAAGAAAGAAAGAAAGAAAGAAAGAAAGAAAGAAAGAAAGAAAGAAAGAAAGAAAGAAAGAAAGAAAGAAGGAAGAAAGAAAAGAAAGAAGGAAGGAAGAGAGAAAGAGGGCTGGGAAGGTGGCTCAGTGGTAGAGCACTTGCCTTGCATGCCTGAGACCCTAAGTTCAATTCCTCAGCACCACATAAGCAAAAAGAAAAAAGCCAGAAGTGGCACTGTGGCTCAAGTGGTAGAGCACTAACATTGAGCTGAAGAGCTGAGGGACGGTGCCCAGGCCCAGAGTTCAGGCCCCACGACTGGACCCAAAAAAAAAAAGAGAGAGAGAGAAAGAGAGAAAGGAAGGAAGGAAGGAAGGAAGAAGGGAGGGAGGGAGTGGAGGGAAGGAAGGAATGAAGGAGAAGAGAAGAAACCTTCAAAGAATCAACCATGCAATTAATAAGTGGCCAGAAGAGCTAAACAGACTTCTCAAAAGAAGAAGTAAGAATGACCAATAGACACATGAAGAAATGTTCAACATCTCTGGCCATAAAGGAAATGCAAATCAAAACAACATTGAGATTTCACCTCACCCCAGTTAGAATGGTCATTATCAAGAATACAAGAATACAATAGATGCTGGCATGAATGTGGTCAAAAGAGAAACCTTAAAACACTGTTGGTGGGAAAGTAAACAAGTACTAGCACTCTGGCAAGCAGTGTGGAGATTCCTCAAAAACTAAACATAGGGCTGGGAAGGTGGCTCAGTGGTAGAGTGCTTGCCTTGCATGCATGAAGCCCTGGGTTGGATTCCTCAGTACCACATAAGCAGAAAAAGCAGGAAGTGACACCGTGGCTCAACTGGTAGAGCACTTGCCTTTAGTTGAAGAGCTGAGGGACAACGCCCAGGCCCAGAGTTCAGGCCTCAAAACTGACCAAAATTAAAAAAAAAAAACAAACTAAACAAAGAACTACCTTATGATCCAGCAATCCCACTCCTGGGCATTTATCCAACAGATCACAAACTAGGATCTCGTGAGGCCACCAGCACAACCATGTTCATTGAAATACTATTCACCATAGCCAAAATATGGAATCAGACCAGATGCCCCTTAATGGATGAATGGATCAAGAAAATGTGGTACACACAATGGAATTCTTATACATACACTAGAAAGAATGATACTGCATCATTTGCAAAGAAATGAAGGACCTGGGAAAAATCATGTTAAGTAAAGTAAGTCAGGCCTAGAAAGACAAAGAATGTATATGTTACCTCATATGTAGAAGATAGAATTAATCTGTAAGTATATCATATACACTCCAGGGTGGTATCCAAGTACACAAAGGTGTATTAACTGAAATAAGATAAATTGAGAGGGAGAACTCAAACAATGTAACTCCTTAGAAAGTCTTACAGTCCAACAAAATATACAACAGGAAATAGGTACTCAAAAGTGTAGGGTGGGATTAAGGAGCAATGAAGAGGAGGGAGATGAATGAAGACAGGAAGGGGGAAATGCAGTCATGAAATTCAATGTATATGCTTCAAAAAAAATTTTTAATGAGAGGAGGGGTGGGGTTGGGAGAGATGATGAAAGGGGTGATAGTAATCAAGATTCGCCATATTCATATTTTATTTTGTTGAATGGCAACTCCTTTGTACTATTTAAAAAACAATTCTATTGTTATTAAGGTGTTGTACAGAGGGGCTGCTATTTCATAAGTCAGGTCATGAGTACATTTGTTTGACAATGTACCCCTTCATTTACTTTCCCCCAGTTTCCCCCTTTCATCCCTGCCTACAAATTACATAGATCATTTTGCACATACTGAATAGCATGATTGCATTTGTTCACTCCCTTCCTTTCTGCACCCATTCTTTACTCTCCCAGAAGGAAAAAAAAAGAACTAAAACAAAAGCAAACATCATCATTGGACTAAAGACAAAAATAAAATGTTAAAGTCAAGTCTAATGGCCCACACCTGTAATCCTACTCAAGAGGCTGAGATCTGAGGTTATAGTTCAAAGCCAGTCCCTGTAGGAAAGTCTATGAGGCTCTTATCTCCAATTAAGCATTTAAAAAAAAAACCAGAAGTAGAACTGTACCTTAAGTGGTAGAGTGCTAGCCTTAGGGGGGCGGGGAAGCTCTGGACAGGACCCAGGCCCTTAGTTCAAGCCCAAGAACTAGCACCAAAAAATGATTAATTAAAATAAAATGTTAAAGAAACGGAGAATAAATTGCATATACAATAATTATGAGATAAGTAGACTTGACATTGAAACAAACTATAAAAATGATGTATGCATTTTTATTTCATTGAAGCAAAGTCTTATTATATGACAGGCTAGCCTTTAAACTTGCTCTGTAACCCACCCTTCCCTCAAACTCAGAATCCTTTTACATCAACCTCCCCTAGGGCTGAGATTTCAAGCATATACAACCATGGCCATCTAAATGTTTCAAGTTTATATAACAAGGGTGGTAATTTTTCCCAATCCATTGAAAATTCCCCTTGATGAATATCTACCATCCCCCACATGGAAATCGGCTCCATATCATGCTAGGGCGCCATGGTTGTCAGCAGCACACAGGCTATCTTGTTCTTCAATCTTGCCTCTGTGACCCCAGTAGCGTTGTGTCCTTGAGCAAGAGACTTGGCCTCTCTGAGACGACACAAGGGAACTGGCTGTCCAGATTAGCATGAGCATGAAGCAGTAACACGGTCTATCAGAGGTGGTGAATGTGCCGCTCTAGCCATGACAGTATGGAATTTGATGAAACTGTGATCTTACTAGCTGTTTGTTGCATATATTACTGGCCCTGAGTTGAAACGACATGGAAGAAACATTGGCAAAAATCTCACCAATTTTTTTTCAGGTTCTTGTCCTCTAGGCTGTAGTTCTGGCTTGAAGATGTTCTAACACACAGTCACTCCTATCATGTCTTTCCCCCACCACTCAGCCCTCCTCATCCAGGTTGTCATTTGAGGTCTCTCTTGAGGAGTTATGGTAAAAAGAAGAAGCGATCTATACTTACTGTCTCTCATGTGTGGATAGTAACAGAGGCCTAAAATTTTGTTCTTTATACTCCATTCAAGTGTCAACAATACATGGCACATAAATTGGAAGCTGCAGAGTGAACCAGCAAATGAAAGCACTAAATCTGCAAGAAATTCACTGCTACTGGCTTCCTTTATCATTAAGTGGGGCACAAACCACTGGATGGAGGGTTTCTCTATTCCTATAAAGCAAACTCAGAGACAAAGTCTCTTTAGTAGAGACTAGGGGCTTTTGGTGGCATTATGACACCCAGGTCTGGGGCTGAGCCACAAGCCATCTCCCAGTGATGCCCAAAGCTCTGAAATAGCCCTCTCCACTACAGCGTGGTTGTGGCTTAAATGATCTTTTTTTTTTTGGGGGGGGGGTCCGGTCGTGGGGCCTGAACTCTGGGCCTGGGCGCTGTCCCTCAGCTCTTCAGCTCAAGGCTAGCGCTCTACCACTTGAGCCATAGCGCCACTTCCGGGTTTTTTCTTTTTGCTTATGTGGTGCTGAGGAATCGAACCCAGGGCCTCATGCATGCAAGGCAAGCGCTCTACCACTGAGCCACCTTCCCAGCCCTTGAATGATCTCTTAAGGGAGATCAAGGAGATTCATGGACTCCTCTTGCAGGACATTGGTAAGATCCTTCCCCATGCTCAAGTAACTTCCCCTTCCTGCAAGTGGCCCTGGGTTTGCCGTGATATAAATCTGCAGATGGTCTGGCACCTCCCCCATAAAGTGCCCACGGAGGTTAATGGACACCATGCATGGCTATGTTTTTGTTTAAAAAATCAACTGAGGTCTTCATGGGATGCTCAGCAACTTGATTCCTAGGAATTGGATGATGAACTAACCACACAGAAGCTCTACTGCTGCTGAAACCATTCATTTATTAAAGCTAGTAACATGTAATCTATCCCTATACCATCCAGGGACCAAACTAAAAACTTGCTGCTGGGTTAATGAAGAAAAGATACACAGCCCTGGAAACACACCCTCATCTTGATAGCACTTGCAGTCTGAATAGCATGGGAAGAAGGGCCATAGACATTAAATTCAAAAACCTGAGTAGGCATTAAGAGATGGAAAATGCTGTAGATAAAGAAACCCTGGACATACAGCATAAGGGGGACTCCAAACTAATGAGAGACTGTCACTTTAAATTATCGTGGCCCTTATGCCCTCCAGTTAGTTGCTTTGCCTCTGCAGGTGTATGATCAAAGGCCAAAGTTGGTACTAACAGCACAGAATTCACTATGACCCTGGAAACAAAGTGATTTACCTTAATGGCAGGGTTTTTTTTTTTCTTTTTTATAATCAAGAGCAACTTTAAGATATTTCTGATTGACAATGTACTTCCCTTAAGGTGGCTCATGGTCCCAAGGGAATGATCTAGGGTGTTTCCGAGAACAATTGTAGTTACATTTCTTTTAGACTTCATTAACCCAAAGTCCTACATGTCCCTAGAAGAAAAAGTGAATACAGAATATGAAAGGTGTGGTTACTATCCCATGTGCACTGGGGTCATGGAGATTGCTCTCCAAGAGAAGCCAGGCTGAGCACTCTCCACTACCAGCACGTTGACAAGGTCATGTATCTGAGGTTCATATCCAGCAGGAACTTCCAGAGAATCCAAGGTGTAAAAGATACTGTTGTCCACCACTCCATCTCTTCCATATACACAGGTAATGACGACCTGTGATAAGACATGATGAGATTCAATGTGGGAAAACATCGTCTAACCCAACAGGCTCTGTACATCCTGACTCCTGCTCTAACCTCTACGGCACACTACCTAATTACAAATTCCCAGCCTGTCAGGCACAATGGCAATACTGGGAGCGTTTTGACAATATCCCTGCACCCACATCCCACCTCACACCAATTATGGCAGAATCTCTGGGGCTCTGCTGGGAAACTCTGTTTTAATATATTACCCACCATGGCTACTAACTATAGGCGAGATTGAAAACTTGAAAGAGATTGAATAAGAAAGGAATTCATAAAGTAAGTATAAACTCTCACTTTTCTCTAATTCTATCAGCTCGTTCCTTCAGTTTTTCTTTTCAACAAAATTTAGGTTACCAACTCACATTCACTTTCAACTGTCCAAACCATATCCAGTGGTTATAGGTAAACCCTCTCATTCTTTCTCAACAGTTAATTGAGCCTAATCATTTTGCTGATTTAATGCATATCCTATGGAACTAGGAAAATGGAGAATAGGGATAGGATTGGGAGGGATGGGGGAGAATGATGAAAGGGATGACATCAAAATGCACTGTACTGAAAACTGATTTGTTGAATGGTAACCCCTTTATAAAATTAAAGATAATGAAAATATGCTAAAAATAAAACATTTACTACCTCTCAAATCAACTATGAAACTTTGGTCTTAATAATAAGTAGAATATACATTAGATTTCAAGTATTTCCTTTCAATTTTTCAATTATTATTAGTTTTTTAATCAGTCCTGGGGCCTGAACTCTGAGCCTGGGCACTGTCCCTCAGCTCTTCAGATAAAGGCTAGCATTCTAACACTTGAGCCACAGTGCCACTTCCTGCTTTTTCTGCTTATGTGGTGCTGAGGAATTGAACCCAGCGCCTCATGCATGCAAGGCAAGCACTCTACCACTGAGCCACCTTCCCAGCCCCTCTTTTCAATCTTTTAATGAGAGAATAGGCTTCCTTTTGGTGACATATCCCTTTTATATTAGATGTCCCAACACATCCGGTAGAATCCTAGCAACAGAAATTATCACCATAGGATGGATAAGAAGATACAAAGGACCAGTACTTTTTTGCACAGGAAATACCTCATACACATGCTTGTGTCTCAGAGGCTTCACAGACACGGCCTGCCTGCGCTGCATTTCTGCCTGGAAGGAAAACACAACCTCCAGCAGGTCACCCTCGTAAGGCTCAAAATCTAAAACAGATAAAGAGAGAAATCCATTTAGAATAGATGAATTACTTGCTGTAAGGCCACATTTCACAAGTCGCTCTGTCATTCCTAAAAACAGTTTCTATTACATCTAATGTCCATCTTGAATGTTTAAAGGCCATTAGCCTACTTCAGATGTTGATTCTCCTCCACTAATTTCACAAATTCATGTGAGATAAAGTACTTTAAGCCAGTCCTTCTGTGGGCATTGCATTATTAGGCAGAGCTGAAATATCTTTGCCAGAAACTGAGTATACTGTTATAAATTCAGTGTTGAAATCTGATGCTGGAGATAAAAACCATTTGTTTTGGCTATGCTAATACAAATACAAAATTGGCCAACAAAGCATCATGGTGAACATGCATTCTTGGAAAATCAGAAACTAATAGAACCAAAATGTACTTGGCATTGCTTTTGTTGAAAACATCATCAATAACTGCATGCAAAAATGCTGTGATATTCTCACAATATAAACTGAACATCTAATAATAATTTCCAAGATATGAATATGTATATATAGATACAAATTAACAGAAGTCCAGAACATGGGGGAATGAATGCAAAAAACACTGAAACCGGGGCTGGGAAGGTGGCTCAGTGGTAGAGTGCTTGCCTTGCATGCATGAGGCCCTGGGTTCAATTCCTCAGCACCACATAAGCAGAAAAAAAAGCCGGAAGTGGCACCGTGGCTCAAGTGGTAGAGTGCTAGCCTTGAGCTGAAGAGCTGAGAGACAGAGCCCAGGCCCAGAGTTCAGGGCCCACGACCGGATACACAAAAAAAAAAAAAAAAAAAAAAAAAAAAATTAAAAGAAAAAACACTGAGACCAACAAGGCCACACTAGTTTTCTTTTTATGCCGTTCTAGAATATGAGCTTCCCAACAGGCTTGGTTCTCTGAAGGGCTACCGTGTGAACCAATCCAATTGGGCAAGTCTTTTTTTTTTTAATGAGTTTTAAGATTGGGCTGAAGTTAGAAAAATCAGTAAAAATCAGTTAGGAATCTTTTTTTTCTTGTTTTGCTGATTGAATCCAGTGCTCTGAGCATGCCATCTAGCTACATCTCCAGGCCATCAATTGGAAATGTTTATTTTAAAAAGTCAACAGGTAGCTGGGTGACAGTGGCTCAGGTCTGTAATCCTAGTTATTCAGCAGGCTGAGATATGAAGATCACAGTTCAAAGCCAGCCCAGGCAAGAAAGTCCATGAGAATGTTATCTCCAATTAACCACCAAAACCCAGAAGTAGAGCTGTGGCTAAAGTGGTAGATCACTAGCCTTGAGAAAAAAAAAAATCAAGGACAATACATAGGCCCTGAGTTCAAGCCCCAGTACTGGCAAAAAATCATCATCATCGTCATCATCAGGTATACCAGTAAAATTCAATTTTGAAACTTGTAGAGAATTTCAATTCTTGTTGAAATTTGCAAATAAAATGATGCAATGAAACTGGGTGATGGAGCTGGGCACTGGGGGCTCATGCCCGTAATCCTAGCTACTCAGGAGGCTGAGATCTGAGGATCACAGTTCAAAGCCAGCCCAGACAGAAAAGTCCATGAGACACTTTTTTGTTGTTGTTGGTCATGGGTCTTGAACTCTGGGCCTGGGTGCTATCCCTCAGCTCTTCGGCTCAAGGATAGTGTAGTGCTCTACCACTTGAGCCAAAGCTCCACTTCTGGTTTTCTGAGTAGTTTATTGGAGATAAGAGTTTCTTGGAAGTTACTGCCCAGGCTGGCTTTGAACTGTGATCCTCAGATCTCAGCCTCCTGAATAGCTAGGATTACAGGCATGAGCCACCGGTGCCCCACTTCCATCAGACTCTTATCTCCACTTAACCATCAAAAAACCAGAAGTGGCACTGTGGCTCAAGTGGTAGAAACTGAGTGATGGTCTGTAGAGACATCTCACTGTGGCAAGGGTCTTTTCTCTGTGTGTTCCAGTCATGGAGGGGCTTGAACGCAGGGTCTTGGTGCTATCCCTTAGCTATTTAAGCTCAAGGCCCATACTGTATCACTTAAGCCACAGTTCTACTACCAGCTTTGTTATTTGGAGATTTCCTTTCCAAACTAACTTCAAACCACAATCTTCAAATCTCAGCCTCCTGAATAGCTATCATTACAGGCATGAGCCGCTGGCACCCTGTGTAGCTAGAGTCTAATATTTAGTACTGGCTCACCAAACTGCAGTCACTTTGTCCTATAGTTCCTAGAACATGCCAATAGTTTCTTCATATCAACAGGTTTGCCTCACCTTTCCCTAGCTTGGAACATTTTCTGTGGCTGGCTTTTCTTACCCTTCACATCTCAGCTCAACTGTCACCGCTTCAGAGCAGTGTTCCCTGATCTGTTCTCTATAGTAAACCCTACACCAACCCCAATTTTACAATCACAGTACCTTGCTACCTCTGAAGAACAGATTTTTTTCATTGGATAGGGAATCATTCTTGCTGTCTTTAACCACCACATTAGGATGAACGTGTTACGAAAACAATACTTTAGAAGAAGGGATAGTGGTAAATATGTATAAATGTATAACTCAGTCATATCTTTGGTATTATTGACATGTTCAGCATTGTTCATCTTGACAATGTTTCTAGCAAGGCTACCATTGCTGGTTACTTCCTGTTGGCATGGTAACAAGATACCAAGAAACTGCCATTGGACCTTAGCACTCACATGGATCTTTCCTCACAGAATTGAGAATTTAAGAGCAAACAGATCATAAAATTCTAGCTATGATCAGATAATTATCTTTGGGGTCTGTCTGGGATACCAACTAAAATCAACTTCTGACTTTCACATCTAAGAACAGTATAACTGGAAATACAATTGTGTGACTGAAAAATGTCCTATTTTGTATCCAAGGTAGATGGTAGTTGATTAGACATAAGCAGGTACATTTTATTCTTGCTTCCAATTTAACTTTCCAAATCCAGCCTAGCCGGGGATGGCAGGAGCATGGAGTTAAGATGAAACAGTTCCTAGCCTAAGCAACCTTCCTCAGTGTATAACAGTGTTCTCCCTGCTCTGCTAAGTAACATCATTCGCATCATGTCATGCTAAGGCATTTCCATGCCCATCACCAAAGAAAAATGATAAGTACCCCACAGGCAAAATTCTTCCATCTCTCCACCCCTCATGGTCAGACCTCTATCACACTGAACCAAACTCAAATGCCATTTTTATATTAGTAAATTCTTTCTTTTTTAGTCGATCATGGGGCTTGAACTCAGAGCCTAGGCACTGTTCCTGAGCTCTTTTGCTCAAGGCTAGTGCTCTACCATTTTGAGCCACACCTCCACTTCCGGTTTTCTGGTGGTTACTTGGAGAGAAGAGTTTCACAGGCTTTCTTTCCTGGGCTGGCTCAGATCTCAGCCTCCTGAGTAGCTAAGATTATAGGCATGAGCCACCAGCACCCAGCAACAAACTAATTCTTTAGGAAGAAAAAATGAAACATTGTATCTACTATTAGCAAAAACAGTTCAACAACAGATACACAAACACATACACATTAAAACAGGAGTATCTTCAAACTATATTTTAAAGCATTTTCAGTATAAATATTATCCTGGCAAACTTGTAATATTGTTAGTTACATTAGAAATTTGATACAAAAGTTTCATAAATAATAGTAACTTCCTGAAATAAATGCCAGTGTAATAAAGGATACCATGAGTTATTTTTTTTTTTGGTTTTGTTTGTGTGTGTGTGTGTGTGTGTGTGTGTGTGTGTGTGTGTGTGTTTTGTCGGTTGTGGAGCTTGAACTTAGGGCCTGGGCACTGTCCTTGAACCTCTTTGTGCTCAAGGTTAGTGCTCTACCACTGAGTCACGGTGCCACTTCAGTTTTCGAGTGCTTAGTTGGAGGTAAGTCTCACAGAGATTTTTCTGCCCAGGCTGGCTTTGAACCATGATCCTCAGATCTCAGCCTCGTGAGTAGCTGGTTAATGCCTGTTACTCAGGAGGCTGAAATCTGGAGGATTGCCATTTTGAGGCCAGCCTCAGCACAAAAATCTGAGAGATTTCATCTCCAAAATAACCAGAGAAAGAACTAGGCTGCAGGCATGCCTCTAGTAGTGTGTGAGCCAAGCAAAGCCAAATGAATGGAAGGACCTATGTTCAAACACCAGTATATTCAAAAATTAAAATAATAAAATACTATGTATTTGTTCCTAATTGTCATACTCCAAAATGTCCATATCCAAACATGCAAGGGTGCTTGATGAAAACCAAATATATCAGAAACTTAGTTCAAGTATTAAAATCATCTCATCAAATAAGTATACACCCTGGAGAAGGTGCTCCTAACTACCTCCAAATCTAACTGATAATATTTAGAAGTTACATAAGACCTAATTTCAAATTTCACAAAACGTAAACTTACCTTTACAAACAACATCCAGAGAGAAGCAAGTTGTGTGCTTAATATACTTATCAACACCCACTCCAGAAGTAACAGAGCCAAAGGTAAGATTGGATGCTGATGGTCCATCACAATAATCTTCACAGACAGCATCCACCTATGAGTTAGAGAAAGACTTGCTTCAAACATGACACAGGTTATAAAAATAAGCTGAGATCATTAAGGATGAAAAAATAGTTTAAACAAATATAAACAGTGGAGAGTATATTTTTCAATATTTAAAAATTCCAATATTTATACAGGCATGATTGTTGTAATGGTTGTAAGGGAACACAACAAAATGATTTCTCAAATGACACAGAAAACTAAACTTACAGGAATATCTACAAAAATCCCCCAAACTAGCCAGGCATTGGTGGTTCAGGCCTATAATCCCAAGTAATTAGCAAGCTGAGATGTAAGGATCATGGTTCAAAGCCAGCCTGGGAAGGAAATATCCTGAGACTCCTATCTCCAATCAAGCATCAAAAACTAAAAACTGGAAGTGGAACTGTGGATCAAGTGATAGAGCGCTAACCTTGAGAACAAAGCTCAGGGACAGTGCCCAGGCCCTGAGTTCAAGATCCAGGAAGGACACCAAAACAAAACAAACAAACAAATGACCAAACTGCTGGGCACTGGTAGCTCACACCTGTAATCCTAGCTACTCAGGATGCTTAGATCTGAGGGTTACAGTTCAAAGCCAGCCTTAGCAGGAAAGTCCATGAGATTTTTTTGCGGGGGGGAGGGGGTCCAGTCGTGGGCCTGAACTCTGGGCCTGGGCACTGTCCCTCAGCTCTTCACCTCAAGGCTAGCGCTCTACCACTTGAGCCACAGTGCCACTTCTGGCTTTTTTCTGCTTATGTGGTGCTGAGGAATCGAACCCAAGGCCTCATGCATGCAAGGCAAGTGCTCTACCACTAAGCCACCTTCCCAGCCCTCCATGAGCCTCTTATCTCCAATTAACCACTGAAAAAAAATCTGGAAGTGGAACTATGGCTTAAGTGGTAAAATGCTAGACTTGAGCAAAAAATTTCAAGGAGAGTCTCTAGGCCCTGAGTTTAAGCCCTAAGACCAACACACAAAAGAAAACCCAAAACACGTGGGTTCTGATGACTTATGCCTGTAATCCTAGCTACTAAGAGAATGAAATCTGAGGATCCTGGTTCAAAGCCAGTACAGGCAGGATAAGTCTTTGAGACTATCCCCAATTAGCCATCAAAAAGCCAGAAGTGGAGCTGTGGCTCAAGTAGTAGAACATGAGTCTTCAGCAAAAGACCTCAAGGACATCACTCAAGCCCTGAGGTCAAGCTCCAGAGCCACCACTCTCTCTCCCTCTCCCTCTCCCTCTCCCTCCTTCCCTCTCTCTCTCTCCAAAACATAAATAAAAATTACAGCAGGAAAACCAAGCTAGCAAATGATAAAATATGCTATAATGTTTCAGAAATGCAAACCATTTGATCATAACTAAGGATAATTAAGTGGGTATGTTAGACTTTCCCCATGAGGTTGTGTTCAATGGCATGAGGGGCATTTGAACTTGGTGAAGGAAAGGTGAATCCTTACATTCAGCATATACATGGGAGCAGAAAGTCATTCACAAAAGTCTGCATCCTTCTCTCCCTTGCTACACTTAAACTAATGCCAGATAGACTATTCAAATGTAAACAACTTTCACAGGACTAATCTGTGATAAATATGTGAGGGGTAAATTGTGACTGCCGCTAAAAGTCAATGTTGAAGGGTAAACTTGGGAGATAAGCCCACCATAAAGGTCCTGAAACTCAAATTTACCTAACATGCAAATACTTCTAATATCCGTGGCAAGTAATTCTGAGAAGTTGCTCTATTTTCCCCAAACTGATAAGGAAATACAAGTAAAAATTATTCCTTAGATGGTCAAAATTTTCAGAGATTGATAGTATACAAATTGTCCCATCCAGCTGCTTACAGTGTCAGTACAGTGACAATAGTAAAGCTGGACACAAGAGGCTCATGCCTGATATCAGGAGGCCAAGCTCCAGAGGACCTTGGTTCAAAGCCAGCCTGGGAAGAAAAGTCCTCAGACTCTGTCTCCAATTAACCAGCAAAAAGCTGGGCTGATGGCCAGTCAATCACATTTCTACAAATACAAAGATCCATTACATGTGAGGGGAAAATAAGGAAATTACAGGAAAATATATACACTGATTTATTACTAATCATGTTTTAAATAAAAAGAACAGATAAGATATATAATTGACACTTTTGCTAAATAGACAGCACCAGTAAAATGAAAGCAGATGTCTCCTGCATTCATGTTAGTTGCGAATGAAATCCTATTCTCCCTCCATTCCCTTAGGTCTCTTCAGAGAGGCTGGAGAAATAGCATCAATGCTGACTTCCCAAAAACACAGATCATCTCGATCTCACAGAAATCTTACTTTGATTGTTTTCCATCCACGGCCTGTTTCATCTTCCTCCACTATGGCAATAACTTTTTGTCCAATGTGCAAAGGGACATTGCCAGTCACATCTTCCTTACTGAAGAAAATGGACTCATCAATCCAGCCATGGTCATTAAAGACTCTTGTCACAACTCCTTTCACAGCTTTTACCTTGATGGTCTCTGCAATGTAAACACATAGGAACTTGAGTTAATTAAAAATGCATGCATGCACTACTAATAAGCCCTACCAGAGTGCTGGGAATGTGGCTTAGTGGTAGAGTGTTTGCCTAGCATGCATGAAGCCCTGGGATGGATTCCTCAGTACCACGTAAACAGAAAAGGCCAGAAGTGGCACTGTGGCTCAAGTGGCAGAGTGCTAGCCTTGAGCAAAAGAAGCTCAGGGACAGTGCCTAGGCCCTGAGTTAAGCACAGTGGCTTCAGAACAAAAGCATTTGAGTGCAGAAGCTAAGAGCAGAGTTTGGGACCCAACTGCTTGCCTTTGAACTGCAGCTCCTCCCCTCATCTTCTGTAGAATAAGCATTTTTGTTAACAGGTGCAACTGGTACCCATCTATATAATCAGGATATTGCCAACACTGTCCTTGCTGAGGATAGAGCTCCATGGTACACTGTTTGCCTAGCAAGCACAATGCTCTGGCTTCTACTTCAGCACCATAAAGAGAAAAGGAAAACAATGCAAAAAGAAAAACTCAAACTATATTGTCTGTCACTTATGCTGGTTATAAATATTAAGTAACATGTGCATATATGTGCGTTGCAAATATCAGGTTCTCCTTTAATTCAGAGAAGCCATAGGAAGAGATTGCCAGGCCTGATGAGGTCATGGGAGGTCATGCTTTGATCACAGGTTCTCCTGTTTATAGACTCAGCAAGACACAGTTTACAGGCTTGTCCTCCAGGGCAGCATCATTTACTTGAGCACACTGGCAGCACACTGTCCAGCAGTGGTATACAGGATATGTACTGTGTGTACTGTGTGATGATTTCTTGGAAGGAGGTCTAGGCCCCAGACCCATATATATCATGGCAAAGTACACATGGCACAACAAACATGCAAACTGCCTAAAACTGTGAAGGCCACCCACAGTTTAGAACCTTTGTTGCTTCCCTATCTGCATCTAGAAATCCAGAAAATCCATTATTCTTATGCAATTTCATCATTATCAACAACAGCATCCAATACAGCATCTGGAGATTTTTTTTTTTTTTTTTTTTTTTTTTTTTGTCGGTTGTGGGGCTTGAACTCTGGGCCTGGGCGCTGTCCCTCAGCTCTTCAGCTCAAGGCGAGCACTCTACCACTTGAGCTACAGCGCCACTTCCGGTTTTCTGGTGGTTTATTGGAGATAGGAGTCTCACGGTCTTTCCTGCTCGGGCTGGCTTTGAACCGTGATCCTCAGATCTCAGCCTCCTGAGTAGCTAGGATTACAGGCGTGAGCCACCAGCGCCCGGCCATCTGGAGATTTTTAAACACTGGCCAGACAAAGCACATAGACAGGTGCAAAATATAAGGTCTAGCTCAAATGTGCCCCTACTCTCTTTGCCTTTGTTTCTTTCCTGACTGAATACTTAGGTGTTTTAAAGTGGTTGTTGTATTTTCTTTTTACCTGCTTGAAGCTTGAACTCAGGACTGGAGTGCTGTCCCTGAGATTTTTTTTTGCTCAAGGTTAGCGCTCCACCACTCCAGCCACAGAACAACTTCCAGTTTCTTCAAAGTTTGTTGGAGATAAGAATCTCACACACTTTCCTGCCTAGGCTTTCAACTGTGATCCTCAGATCTCAGCCTCCTGAGTAGCTAGGATTATACACAACTGGTACAGAGCTGAATTTTTTTTTTTCTGCAGTTACAGATGGAACCCAAGACCTTTACATTCTAGGAAAACACCATAACCTACACACTCACCAGCCCTTGGGTGTACTTCTTTTGTTGTTAAGGTTTTGTTTTTGTGTCTGTATATGTATGTGTGGCACTGTTAGAACTCAAGTCCTTAGGCTTGCTAGGCAGGCACTCTATCACTGAGACACCTCAGTAGGTTTTGATTGAACATAGTTATTACACCACAGTTTGCAATCTGATCCAGTATCTTTTCTAGCACCTGCAGTGGACCACAGTACCTCTGATACCTTTCCAGGGACTTGGGTTCATAGACCCGATGGCTGAAAAGAAGCATCAGTAAGACAGATTATAGAATCAGAAGCCAAAAGCCAGGCGCTGGTGGCTCATGCCTATAATCCTAGCTACTCTGGAGGCTGAGTTCTGAGGATTGTGGTTCAAAGCCAGCCAGGGCAGGAAAGTCTGTGAGACATTTTTTTTTTGTCGGTAGTGGGGCTTGAACTCTGGGCCTGAGCATTGTCCCTCAGCTCTTCAGCTCAAGGCTAGCACTCTACCACTTGAGCTACAGCGTCACTTCTGGTTTTCTGGTGGTTTACTGGAGATAAGAGTTTCACGGACTTTCTTGCCCGGGCTGGCTTTGGACCGTGATCCTCAGATCTCAGCCTCCTGAGTAGCTAGGGTTATAAGCGTGAGCCACCAGTGCCTGTCACTTGTGAGACTCTTATCTCCAATAAACCACTCAGAAAACTGGAAGTGGCACAGTGGGTCAAGTGGTAGAGCACTAGCTTTGAGCTGAAGAGCTGAGGGACGGCGTTCAGGCCCAGAGTTCAAGCCCCATAACCACCAAAAAAAAAAGAGAGAGAGAGAGAATCAGAAGCCAAGGAAATAGTTGCTGCTTGAAAAGATGTGTCAAATTTATTAATTGAAATCAAGGAGATCTGATTCAAACATAACTAAGGCAAAAAGGATTGGGGTATATCCAAGAACAGTGCCAACCTAGCAAAAGCAAATCCTTGAGTTTCAACCCCAGAGCTATGTGAAAAATAAAAAGATACCACTATATAGGTACTCAGTGCCAGACTCAGGCTTTTAGTGTACAAAAGTGAACAAGTTTGGAGAGTACATATCCCTGATCAGCTAATGTGCCGGTTTTATCCTCAATTCAGCAGAGCACAGAGGTAAGACTTTTAGAAGGACATTGCATAATTTGGCTCTAATTTCAATAATGACTAATAATGATTATCCCATTCAGAAGTCTGAAGATTACTGGATTTAGGAGGAAGGAGCTGTTTATAGAAGAAATTTTTCTCTCAACTTCCTGGCTGCCATGAGGTGAGCAGGTTCTAACACATGTTTCCCACCACAAGTGAAGGTCAATTGTCTCTGTGTAAACCTTCAGATCTCACAAGCCAAGCTCGATAGGAAATGTACTCATTACTTTATGTAACTGTAATCCCTCTGTATAGTATTTTACAATAAAAAACATATAAATATGTGTGTGTGTATATAATACATATATAATATATAATATACATGATAGATAGGTATATATCTATCATGTATATTATATATATATAAAGAACTTACAAGCCAAGATAAATCCTCCTTCTTTGCATTTGATTTTGTCAGGTATTTTGTCATAGTGACAGAAAAAATGCTGTCACAAGTAAATATACATGCATGCCCCCTAAGAAAGAAAATAAAATTTGCCCTCATATATTCAGACCCAATACAACTGTAAATATAAAAGAAATCGTTGCCTGCAAGTCTTTGAGACAGGAGTCTCCCTGCAGTCATGGCTTCCTAATAAAGACTCCCAATTTGACCTCTCAAAAAAAAATCTTTCTATATTCATTGCATTTAGGAGGCTGAGGTAGATGATCATGAGTGTGATGCTGGCATGGACTACAAGTGAATATACCCTGTCTAAAAAGAATGTTAATGCCAGGTGGCAGTGGCTCACTTCCATAATCCTAGCTACTCAGCACTCTGAGATCTGAGTATCACAGTTCAAAGCCAGCCAGTGAAAGGAAGTTTTCCTACTCTTATTTCTAATTAACCAAAAAAAGCTGGAAATGGAGCCTGTGGCTCAAATGTTAAGAGTGGTAACCTTGAGCCAAAAATATCAGGGACAGCACCATGGCCCAGAATTCAAGCCCCAGGATAGCACAAATAAAAGAAATCCTAGAGGACTAATTATGATCAAGAAATATTCTATACATAAATGGGCTTGTTAAAATGGGGGGGGGGGGCGGGGAGAAACCAGGAATCTGTGCCCATTCATTTGACATCTATGGGGAAAATGTTCGAAGGTACCTGGAGAAGTTGGGGGAGGGGAAAGGCAGCTTCTGAAGAAACTATATTTTCCTTTTTTTTGAGAATGTCTTATGCAACCCAATCCAGCCACTAATTCAAGATCTTCTTGCCTCTACTTCCCAAGTGCTGGACCTACTCATATTCGCCATGATATACTGCACAAAGACTTTTCCTCACTGCATTAAGACCACTTTGAAATAGAGAGTTAGGATTGTGGATAGATGTAAATTGGTCCAGCACTTCAGACACAGGAGTGGGGGCGTGTTGTTGTATGGTTGCGAGATGAGAATCGTGGGAGAGGCAGTGGGAAATCCGGGTAGCGAATGCGGACGAATTGAATGAGGGGCATCTGAACATGGAGGTTGAGAAAGTAGTAGGCCGGAGTGAGGATGGGGGACAAAGAAGCAGGAATGGCACTATTTGGGTTGGAGGCAACTGTGGGAGATGAAGGGCGGACTCAAGAAGTCGGAGATGCTAACGTTTTAAGATGGCGTCCCTCCGGGTGCTGAGAGGCCTACACAGTCCCCGAAGCCCCAGACTGGCCTCAATGGGCCAGTCCCTCGGTGAGGAAAAACATGAGGTGAAACGTGAGGTACCTTCCAGGAGACACTTGTGCTGCTCCTTCTCATCCTCTGACATGGTCCGCTTTCCAAAGAAACTGAGAGCTTTGGACAAAAACCGATGCATGTTCCTGTGGTGGGTGAGGCCTGACCTCCAAAACCCTCTAGTGTAAGAGAAGCTTCTGTCGGTCTCTCTCTCCTGTGAGCGAACGAGCGAGCGGAAAAGAACGCCGTGGCTCAGCCAATGGGGTGCGTTTTTATCATTGATGACCAATGAGAACCATCCGGTGAGTAGGCGGGACTTCACGTGTTGTGCTGTCACGTGGCATGCGGTAGGGAGGCACTGGAGTTGGAAGGCCAGCTTCAAATTCCCGCCAATTGGACCTTGCTGTACATTTTCTTCCTATAGGTTCTGCTCTGTGGGACTTTTCTGGAAGGCCAGCGCCTGCCTCACAAAATACAGCAGCAAACTGCCTTGAGTATGTAGACGGGCTCCAAGGCCTAGCTCCAAGATTGCCATCTTCCATGTCTCAGTGCCTCTAGATCCTTTTCTTTTTCCTCATGCACCAGTCTTATGTCCCACACCCACTCCATCCCGGCATCTCTAAGCAAGGGCCCTGTTCACTGTTAAATGTTAACATAGATGACATAGAAAAACCAAACTTTCGCATTTAATTGACCTCAAAACACAAGCTGGCTGCCAGAGCTGCTTATGAGCTGGGGCTATAATACAACACAGCAACCATAGTAGTTCTGAGAGATGATATCGGTGTAAGAGATCTGTCAAGGATGACCAGTGATGCACCACTACGTGGGGTATTCCACTACGTGGAATCTTTGGTGGCTTTTGATATTTTTTTTTTGTATGAAGACCCAAGCACCTCTGATTTCTTTCAGGCTGTGAAACAGTTCCATGAGAAGGACATGAATTTCTCAAGCCCATTAATAGAGAATGATACAGTGAATCTTATTCCTTTGTACAAGCTTGACTAGTCTGGAGCTCCATATGGCCTTAGAATCTAATAAAAAGGCCAGAATCAGTCTTCCTGCCCTTTCTCACCAGCATGAACCCTGCATTAGGATACAAGGATTCATTAGTTCTGTCTGCAGTAGCAAGCAGGCAGCAGGGAATTAATAAAGCAGGCATGCCTGTAATCCCTGTACTCTGGAGGCAGAGATAGGATGATCTGTAATCAGCTTCAGTTGCAAAGTTACATCTTATCTCAAAAAACAAAAATAAAAAACCCCAAACCAGGCAAGCTGTTGTATTTCTTATGCTAAGCAAGCAAACAGAGACAGAGAGCTGCAGGAAAACTGGTTGACCAATTACCAAAAAGATGATGGCAAATCTAACCAAGGACTGTCCTTGAGCTTCATTGTACCTTCATTGTATATAATCAGTTAACATAGGATCTCTGCCCAGTTGTGTGTGTGTGTGAGTGTGTATGTGTGTGTGCAAGATGATACTTCTTTATTAAAAAGTCTCCTATAAATAAGCACTTATTTTAAGTCATTTCAGAATACTTGATATCATATGTATGTGACTAAAATGTACATATAGTTAAGAACTCACTGAGCTTTCTATAAATGTGTAAACATTTTGCTAGTGGAACTGATCTGACTATTCATCCACTAATGCTAAGAGGCCAAAGCAATGAAAGATAAGAGCTAAGAAAACAGCCACTATTTTGGTCCTTGCTCTCTGTAATCATCCAGAACCCAGGAGATGATGGATCCCTCTAGAGCAACTCTTCTAAGTCATCCATCATCCTGATCAGGGAGGCTGCAGAGACCTTGGAGGTTGGACTCTAATGAGTGTATTTTCTACAAGAGAAAAATCATTAGAGAATTCAAGGGAAATCTGCCTCTTTATCTTTAATAGGCTTACTCATTCAGATCACAATGTTCTTAAATTAGGGGAATGTTATTTATAGCAGTTTTATTGAGATCTATTTCATATACCATACAATTCACCTATTTAACTCAATGTTTACTTCTTCAGTTAGTTTTGAGAGTTTATGCCTTTTTAATAATTTCTCTATTCTATGGAGGTCATCTAAACTTTTGGCATAAAATCATTCATAGAAGTTTCTACTGCTTTTTTTTTCTGGAGCTTGAACTCAGGGTCTGAGCACTATTTCTGAGGTGTCTTTTGCTTTTAAATCAAAGCTAATGCTCTACCCCATAAGCCACAGCTCCACTTCCAGCTTTTTTTTTTGGCAGTAATTAGAGATAAGAGTCACATGGGCTTTCCTGCTGGGGTTAGCATTGAACCATAATCCTCACATCTCAGCCTCCTAAGTAACTAGGATTATAGGCATCAGCCAGGTATCATCCACCGGTGCTCAGCTCAGCTTCTTCCACTGCTTTATTTGCAGGGGGGGGGGGGGGGGGAGGGGGCGGGGAGGGAGGGGAGGTCTGGTCGTGGGGCCTGAACTCTGGGCCTGGGCGCTGTATCTCAGCTCTTCACCTCAAGGCTAGTGCTCTACCACTTGAGCCACAGCATCACTTCCAGCTTTTTTCTTTTTGCTTATGTGGTGCTGAGGAATCGAACCCAGGGTCTCAGGCATGCAAGGCAAGCACTCTACCACTGAGCCACCTTCCCAGCCCCCTTCTACTGCTTTTATAGATAGGTTTGTCCTGTAATTCCTGAGATTAATAATTTGTATCTTTTTTAGTCCATCCATCTTATAGTCTTGCTGATTATCCAGAACATTTCAAATAATTAATTTTTGTTTTGTTGGTTTTCTCAGGTGTGTTTTTGTTCAGCATTTCATTTATATACACATTTATTCTTTTTATTTCTTCCCTTTTGCTTGATTGGGTTAAGTCCCTTTTCTTTTTTGCAGTTTCTTATTGTTGTAAGGTGAATCCAGTTGGGAATCCAGTCAGAAGAAAACAGAAAAGCCATATGTTGAAAGATCAAATCGAGAGTCTTTATTTGAAGGCCACTGACCGCATGGTAGACTCCTGTCTGAGAGACAAGGAGCCCAGAACAGAGCTTACACCAAACTTTTTTTTTTGTCTTTTTTGGTACTGGGGATCGAACCCAGGATATTGCACTTGCTAGGCAAGCGCTTTGCCACTGAGCTACATCCCAGCCTATACACCAAACTTTTAAAGACAAAAATGACATGTTTAGGTGGTGACAAAGCTCCAACATAAATAAGAGGCACCAAGAAAGACTCCAGAAGCAAGATTTCCCTGGGGCTAAACAACATGATACATTTACATATCCTCTCTGGGTCTAAAAAACAAGGTTTATCTGCAGTTCAAAGGGTGGTTGTCTCACCTCTAGGCCTTGGTAGCTGGGTAGACAGCACCCTTCATCTGGTTAGGCACCAGGATTGCTGGGAAAAGAAGGTGACTTACTTAGAGCTACGCTATCCTTTACTTCATTCCTTACTGTTTTTATGTACATGAAATCAAATAATTGATTTCTCAGAGAGCTGCATCAGGCCCTATAAAGTTTTAGGTGAGAAAAGGACCATGCAGAGAGGCATAAAAGGATTAACAGGAAAATTTATTGGAGTATGCTCCCAGGCAAACTCCCTGGTCAGGATCAGAGAGGTCATACTGAATTTGGTTGTAGCAGAGCTTTATAGGTAGGGTAAAAGTAGAACTTGTAGTGAGCGGGGACTTGTAGCACATAGCTTGTTTTGCCCATTTGAAGGGTTTTAGGCCAGTGCGCTGTAAGAATGGTTGATTCAGATGGTGTTTTTGATAGGGAAATGGTATATCTCAGAGGCAGCACCCTGTTTTACCCCAGTGGCCTAATATTTTTCCTGGCTGCCTACTTCCAGCATCTTTGGTTTGGAAATGGGAGGATGACAGTCATCTGGATACTTCCTGCTGAGGAGGGGCATAGTGAGGTTGTATGTCAGTTGTCTAGGACGCCAGCGGGGAAGTTGGCAGGGAGTGTATGGGTTGCAGGAGAAGCAGCCAATTAACCTTTGCTCTGGTCATTTTCTGGATGCGGTTCTGAATAAACTTTAGGAGGCATGGGACAAATAGAAAGAAAATACCAATTAAAATTAGTGGGCCTGGGGGCTGGGCAGGTGGCTCAAGTGGTAGAGTGCTAGCCTTGAGCTGAAGAGCTGAGGGACAGCGCCCAGGCCCAGAGTTCAGGCCTCCCCCCCCAAAAAAATAAAATAAAATAATAAAATTAGTGGTCCTACTAGGGTCAGTAACCATTCAGCCCGGGGACTTTGAAACCAGTCTAGGATGGGTCCCCTGGCTTGCTGATGTGTTTTTCCTGCAGCTTGTTTAGGGCCTCGATGTTCTGTTTTATCAAACCTGATTCATTGATCATTATTCCCACAAATATAGGCAGATCCAAATGTTTTTGGTCATCAGAAGGTTCAGGCCTCGGCGATTTTGAAGAGCCACTTGTCCTAGGGAGGTAAGTTGGCACTAGAAGGAGGCCAGAGAGGTCGAGGTAGACTGAATGGAGCTTACCTGAGAGTTCCTGAGCTGAAACTAGACTAAGTCCAAGGGCTCTTCACGCAAAGGCCACACCCCCAATAGACAAAACCAGGTTGACCCCTACCATAACAGGCAGAAAAGCTGCCTGTCTCTCGCCCTGTCATGGGGTAGGAGCCAACTTTGACCTGTGTGAGTAAGGTCAGTTGAGGAACAATAGAAAATAGTATGCAAGGTGTAGTGGTACTGTTAAGCATTGAACCAAGGTTCTACATCAGTGCACCAATCCTGACTCAAAGTAACTAACTTAAAACTGCCCTTTTTTCCTTTGGCTTGTGGAACTGGGTTATTTCAGAACTGCCTCAAGGCACTGCTTGGGTAGAGAAGTGTGCTAGATTTTAAGGCTAAGAACAGGACTACGTCTCATTCCTCTTACTACCTCCATTGCAAGTATCAGAGGATGTAAGTATCAGCCACGTAAGAGGGCCCATTGCTGGTGGCTGGGAGGAAAGGCAGTCAACTCCCATGACCCAGACCTGGGAAGGAATTAAGGGGCCCCAGAAGGAAGGGAGGACTGATAGGTAGCCCCTGTATCGACCAAAAAGGAAATGGCCTTACTCACTATCTAGATAATTACCCTAGGCTTGGTGAGGGTAATTGGGGTTGGCGAAGCCAGGTGTCCTCAGTCTTCAGCAGCTAGGCCCA